AGGGAAAATGGCTGCGGATCCTGTTCGTCACCCGATGCGGAGTTCGCGAATGGAAGCAAAATTTTGCGAACGGTGCTGTTCATGTCCCAAATTGTTCGTGAACAGAAGTGTTTGTGACCCGAGGTACCACTATATATATATTGTAAACTCTCGATCTAACTGATCTGGGGGGAAGGAGTGTCCGTTAAAGCTGAATGTCTCTTAAATGGCAGATGAGGTTCTTTGTGTCCCAAAATACGTTCATACGTGAGAAAACATACCTTACTAAGTTGCTGCTGCCGAGATGCTAGGTTTTGTTGAGAATGATATGGATATTGGTTTGAAGAAAGTGTCCAGTGTAACTGAGTCTTGGAAGCAGGTATCTCCCCCCCTCCACCCCACAAAAAACACAGATATGGGAGTAAGAAGGCTGGACATCATGATCAGATATAGAGTTGATAAAAGCTGTTACATTTTTGAGACAGGATCTCTTTTTCACCCCCTTTGAGGCTATGATTGATTAAATTACAGTATTTACAAAATGTTTACAAAAACCTTACGAAATATAGTGTCCCAAGCACCAGCACATGTGAAAGATGCCAAAATTGCATCTAACATCACGGAGTATGGTACTTTTTTAATGCACGTGCAGAAGACATAATGCTTACATATGGGCAGAAGCAGCGACCATTGTTCAGATTGCTTTGCCAGACAACAGACTTTTATCCTTTGTTTGAAGTGAGATCCAAAATCACAGTTTGCCTGTTAATGTCTGAAGTCTGCTGAATTGAAGTCTTTAAAACTGAGGGCTTACAAAATCAGTGTATTGGCTTAAATGAAAAGTAGAGGGAAAAAAAGAGCTCCTCCCCTCAAAGTCTTACTTTTGAACAAGATCCAGTTTACGATGGTAGAATATTTGTGACAGATGCATATTTGTGTTCACAACATAAATGATATCAAGAGAAGTTTTCTCCCATGTATCCATCTCTTGGCTAAGGAGGGATCCTTCCACTATCTCTGCTCAGCCTAAAACAGTGTTGTCCAAACTTGGCCACTTTAAGATGAGTGGACTTCAACTCCCAGAATTCCCCAGCCACCCTGGGGAAGTTTGGACAACACTGGCCTAATATACTCCATTGATTCACATTACCTCTTAATGCAGTCTCCTCCAAACAATTCCCATGCATGCCGTTGAGGATAATAGGAATGAAGCCCTCTAAGGAGATGCCTGGTAGAGGAAGGCTATATCCCGTCTTTCACTGAAGCTAAATTTTGACACACATCTTACCTTGATGCAGAATTCAAGTACACTATTGTTGACATCTCATTCTGATTTTATTATGGTGATTTTGATTACTTTCTGCTTATCCAATCAGTGATAGTGAGATAATGGGCATAGGGCAGTGTTGTCCAAACTTGGCCACTTTAAGATGAGTGGACTTCAACTCCCAGAA